GTGCTATGGATTTGATCCACTTGGTAAGTAGTCAATCATGACTAGGATGAACCTTTTTTATCCTATTGATGGTGTAAATGGACCTAACAAGTCCATTCCCCATATAAAAAATGGTCAGGGGCTCATGATTGAGTGTAGCTTATGAGAGGGTTGTAGCTGTATTAGATAGAACCTTTAGCATTTTATGCATCTTTTAGAAATTTCTTTTGCATATTTTCTTAGGTTTGTCTAGAAGTATCCTTTCTTGAGAATTATGTGGGCTAGTGCATGTCCTCCTAAGTGGCTATCACACTCACATGAGTGGATTTCAATCAATAATGCTTCATCTTGCTCTTCTTGTATGCATATGAGGTTAAGTGAGGAAGTGAATCTTTTGAATAAGCTATCACCTAGTGATTGATGGCTAGCTACTTTGATCTTGAATAACTTGGGGTCATCAACCTTAGTGTTGACCAATCTGATTTTTAAGTACTCGATGTAACACGACTTATAAGATATAAAGTTAGAAGATCCATCTTTGTTTATATCACTTCTTCTTCCTTTATAATAGATATTGAGATTTGTGTGGCAAGGTGGCCGTCAATATATCCTTATTTATAGAGAAGACAAGGGAGTTGGTTTTAATTCCTAAGAATTTTTAAAATGTTAAAGTATTTGAGCCTGCCAATTTCTTATTTAACATTGAATAGATATCTCATGAGTATTTCATCTTTGACTTCATATTCACCATTGATCCAGTTTACCATTAGTTTTGAGTTTAAGTATACTTCCAGCTTAGTGACGCCTAGTGCAGAGGTAAATCGTAGGCTGATGAGTAAAGCTTCAGGCTTAGACTGGTTATGAGTGATCTTGAATTCAAAGTTTGCAGCTTGTGTGACCATAACCCCTTTGGGGCTACTGAGAACCATGTCTACACCAACTCCTTGCTTACCTGAGGTGTCACCTCCCTATAAGATCCAATGAGGTTGTGTCATTATTTATAAATGCATACCTCAATTGTGCAGTTTATGAGAAAGTTGGCAAGCGCTTGAGCTTTGATGGTCATCCTTGTTATATAGGTGATTGACAATTCGTTGAGTTCTATGTTAAGTTGCCAGCATGAATGATCAAGTTTGACAAAAATTGCTTTTGAGAGGATGATTAATTACTATATGAATGGAGTGGGTTTCGAATTATGGTCACAATCTTATGGCTGAGTTGATGAGTGCACATACAAGTTTCGCTATGATGAGGTACCTTTCATTCGCACCTCAAAGTGTATGAGTCACATAGTAGATGGGTCATTTCTTATTTTCTTCTTTTCTAACAAGCATGGAGATGATTGTGTCTTCATTGACTCTAATATATGTCAATAAGTTTTTGACTAGCCAAGTGCTTTAAAGAAGAGGTGGTGAAGTGATGAGGATCTTCAGTTACTGGAAGGCAGCTTACACCCAAGAGAATTTTTTTTATATTTATGAGAATTTTGAAGAAGGGGGCATCTCTCTCTAAGTTGAGAGATGAAATGGTTAAGTCCAGCATTCCGTCTGATGAGTCACTGAATTTCCTTGGTGATTTTGGTTATTTTCATCTCTAATATGGCTTGTACCTTATTGGGGTTGTTTATAATTTCATCGAGTGTGAGAAGGAACCCTAGGAATTTCCTCGTGTTTGCTCCAAAGGTGTACTTAAGAGGATTCAACCTCATGTTGTATTTATTGAGTGTAAGGAATGTCTCTTGGAGATCTTTGATGTGTTGGTCGGGATATTGGATCTTAACTAAGAAGACATCTATGTAGACTTCGTTGTTTTTTCCCCTTCTATTTCTTAAAGAGTTTATCCATTATTTTTTGATAAGTTGCTCTGGCATTTATCATGCCTAAGAAAGCGACTTTGTATCATAATAAACCTTCCACTATGATGAATATAGTTTTTTTTTTTGTAGTCATTAGTGTGCATCTTGATCTGGTGGTAGCCTGAGAAGGTATCCATGAGGCTCATTACCAAATAGCCTACTGCATAATCAACTAAGGTATTTATCCTTAGAAATGGGTAGCCATTTTTGGGGTATGTTGAGTTTAAATTGGTGAAGTCCACACACATTTTCTATTTACATGTTGCTTTATGTACCATCACCATATGTAAATTATATTTGAATATTAAACTTTCCTGATGAAGTTGGCAGTAACTATCTTTTCTATTTCTTCTTGGATGGGTCTGATGAGTAAAGCTATAGTTTCTCTAATCTTCTATTTGAGGGGACAAGAGTCTCCTTTTATATATAGATGATGGCATATGACTTCATCGCTGATGCCTAACATGTATGTTATTGTCCATGTGAATGCTTTTAAGATTATTATGGAGTGTTTGCATTAACTCATATCTATCTTTCTTGTTGAAGGAAGAGCTGATTATGGGACTATACCTTATTCATATTTTGTTATATTTATTGATCTATAAATATCATTTATTATGATCATTCCTATATCTTATACAACAATAATGAGAAATATTGAGAGCTGCATATGAAAATATTTTTGAAGAAGTTAAAAAGGACGTGAAAGGGAAGAATTTGGCTACCATTAATTAGTAAGAGCAAAATTTGAAGATACAAAATCACCAAGACTCTAGCATTTCCTTGATGGTAGTGCGAAATGAGAAAGATTCAAGAATGATTAACAAACAATTCATGTGAGTGTGTTAAATTATTCACCTTTGCTGGTTCAAGTGAAGTGGAAGAATGTTGATGCCATATTCAACACAAGATGCCAAAATATCTAATTTTAATGAGTCTAATCAAGTGGCTAGTACAAAAGATGAGTCATTCAAACAACACACACATAAGATCCAAGTTGTTTAGTTAAATATACTTATGTGAACTATAGAGATAGTTTTCACTATATTTAAAGTAGTATTATAATGAGTGAGTACAATAATAATCAATAGAACATAATTATTAAAAAAAAACCATCTTTACTAACTTATATTCTTTTTCCTCCTAGTCCCCCATAAGATATAAAAATATGGATTAAGTATATACTATGATTGATTGTATGGATGTTACTTATTTAACAAGATAAGAGGGTATATGTCAATATTAAATATCAATACTAATAAGTTAATAACAAATTCATATATGATATGCAACACTGGTAAAAAAAAAATAAAATTCAATAAGAGTTGCAGTTATAAGAATGAATGCTATAATACCAATCATTAGTTGGGACAATATTTCGGTGGTGAATGTTATCAAGATAAGATACCATACCCATGTCAAGTATGTATGATGCGTTGATTGTCATGTAATTTTATAATGGAGTTAAAGTGCCTTATTAGGCATTTAATATTGTGTCGATGACATAATTATGAAGTAGTAAGACCAAGTAATATTGGAGGTTGAGAGGCCAATTTGACCATGTCACACAAATAGGCTATTATGGTGAATTTGGAATAATGGACTTAGTCAAGAAGAGATTGTGGAGATAGGTTCTCTGCTTTGCCGGGGTGGCAAAAAGAGGTTCTTTGTAAAGGCTTTTCCGCATAGTTGTGGGGGCTAAAGGAGAGTCACGAGTGTAGTGCAATACTCGGAGGGCGCCTCCGGGGAGTGGACGTAGGTCGAGCTGACCGAACCACTATAAATTTATGTGTTCTTATTTCTTGCTTCCGCATTTTAATTTCCGCACTTAATTTTGTGGTGTGATTTTGGTTTATGTGATTTTTACTTCTTTGTAAATTTTTTTTTTAAAAATACCAATTCACCCTCTCTCTTGGTTAGCTTGGGCCAGTTCTATAGGGCTTAACATCTCTAACGAACTTTCAGAGATCATGGTTAACTGAATAAGGAAGCCAACTTTATTGCAAAGTTAAGCTTCTTTTAACAATTCTTGGTTATTTTTTGCTAATGTAATGAGCCATAGAGGACTTGAGTTGGTGGAAGCACAAGGAAGTACATACATGGGAATGTTGTGAGAAGGCTATAAATGGGCTTGTAAAATTGAATTAGTTGTTAGTAGGTGGACTGACAGGATCAAGCCATGCCTAAGTATATTATAGAGTTTTAGATCTTCCATTGAGTTTTCCATTGGGTAGGGCCTGTCTTTGGCGGGGTTATGAAAGTTTTCACCATATATTGACAAATGAACAATCAAGACTGAATAAGTTATCATCCCACAACCTTCCATATTCTAATCCATTTTACTAGCTCCACCCACCATTCCATCCCTTCAACCCACGCCCCATTCCTACACTTTGCAAATTACTTCAAATTTCTACTAACTATAATGGTTGACATCATTGTTATTTATGAATATTATTTATAATAGTTGTTGACTAGTGCAATAAACGATGAAGTTTTTGCAGCTCACCTTGGTCTGTTGGTTGAGAGCTTTGTGTATTAACCAAAAGGTTTTGTGTTGGAGTCTTGCACATGTGATGTGTATGTAAGTTTGTTTTAATTGGCCTAAATGTCAAAAAAGGAGAAAAACAAATAGATGATGTCTTGTTTGCTTATAGACACTCGTTTATGTTTGATTGCTTTAATTGATGCTTTCTTACTAACATTTTTATTTTGTTTTCCATCGTTGGTTGGTTGATTTCATGATATATCTAACTCTTTTATTGAGATTTGTATTATAAAGAGTGTTCGAAGTTTTTATTTTATTTTATTTTTTAGGCCTATCATGATTTATTCTTTTGCAACTCATTTAACTATTTGAGTCATCTTGCTTTTTTCTTATTTAAGCATAATATCATTTATTTTGTGCAAGACAATTTATTAGTCCCCTTTTAGTCATTTATTTTGATTAAAGCTGGCTTTTTTGGGTATTTTATTTTAAATTTAAGAGTGAAAAATATTTTTTTTTTTGACTTTTGATTTTATTAAGATTTTCTTTGGGAAAGCTTTATTATTATTATTTAAAATAATTTTTTATACAAAATTTGTAATTTAATATATTTTTAAATTAGAAAATTATTTTAAAAAGCAAGCAGAAATGGTGCTTAAAATGAAAAACATTGAGTAGGCAATCGGAACCGACCTTCCCTGGACTGTCAGGCCCGTCACAGTATTATTTCACTTGTTCTAGCGGCGCGACCTCAGCTTTCTAGGGTTTTAGCGAAGAGGATTTACCCGTTGCGGCTTGCCTGCGTTTCTCCGTTCCTCTAGATTTTCGGATCGTCCAAATGGCGGTATGCTCTCCTGGCAATTATGTTATCGTGAGCTTAGATCCATTTCCATTATTATGATCGGAAGCTTATATAACCCTCTTCTGTAATTGGGAACATGATGCAGGTGGAGCGTTTGCTTAAAGATGAGGCCACAGAAGAGAAGGGAGAGAGGGCCAGGATGGTATGTCTCCACTATTTCCACTATCAGACGAAATTTTTTGAATTATAAGTTTCTTTCTGCTGGCAGAAGTTTAGGATTGATTATGATGATGCTCTTGGCTACTTATAGTACGGTGGAATAGTCAATGTGACAAGATTAAAAGTATGAAATATTGCTTCTTTGCTTATTGTAACTTCTTTCATTAGTGATGAAAGAGTGAAAGACATTATTCTTGTTGCTTTTAACTTCAAATCCTTTAATTAACGAACTTTGTTAAACTGGAGAGCAAGGGTTCTTTTCCGTTCTCTTGTGTGTGTCTGCCTGTGTGTGTGTTTTTTGTTTTTTTTGTTTTATTCTGCTTAGGCATTTCTTTTTCATTTTAATTCTGATATAAATGCACTAGTAATTTTGAAAATAACTAGACATTATCATATACCAATTCATGCCTGAAAGTTAGATAATGGACGGTGGGACCTATGATAAATTAAACTAGTATTGTGCCAACAGATATTTTTTACATCCACCATTATTATGGGCTGTGGATAACATACAAGGCTAGATCATCTTTGTCTTGAAAGACCAAACGCTGATTTTGAATATAAGGTATTTAATTTCTTTAGAAATAGAAACATTGAGATGGTATGTGGTCAAGGTTTAAAATGTTGAAAAGGTTTTTTGACTTTAATGCTTTTGCAGTCATCTTCAACAATCATCCTGTTAATTTTAAGAAGGGCTATACTTAATTATTGATTATGTTTTGCAGGCATCATTTGTTGGTGCCATGGCCATTGCTGATTTAGTGAAGACTACTTTAGGGCCAAAGGGAATGGTAAGCATATATGCCTTTTGCCAAGTTAATTTTTTCTTTTTGGAATTATTGTTAGCAATCAATCTGTGTTTATTTTTTGTTGCATGCCATTTGTAGGACAAAATCCTGCAATCAACTGGGAGAGGTCGGAGTGTTACTGTCACTAATGATGGAGCAACTATATTGAAATCTCTTCACATTGATAATCCTGCTGCTAAGGTTCTTGTTGGTATCCTTTTTCCTATTCTTAGTTTGTTGGTGACCATTTTAGATCTTGTTAGCTACATATTTCCTCTTCTATTAATTATTTGATTCAAAATTTTCTGTAATTATCTTCACTTAACTGCTGATGCAATATTAGTTAAACAATAGTACTTGACAATTTATGTTATTCTTTGTGTACTTCTTTTGCTATATTAATTATACAATATTACTTGAAAATTTATGTTATTTTTTATATACTTATTTTGCCTCCTAAAGCGATTTTTTTCTTCAATATATACATTTTCATGATCAATGTGGCGCAGTAAAAAAAAGTAAAAAAGAAAACCGGGTGCAATGGAAAAAATTTCATATTATTCCTTAATTTAAAATAAGATATCTCTAAAGTTCAAGATGATGAGGTTGGTGATGGAACAACTTCTGTTGTTGTTTTGGCTGGGGAACTTCTTAGGGAGGCAGAGAAATTGACAAATGCAAAGGTCCATCCAATGACTATAATTGCAGGTTTGTTTGCACGCACAACTCAGATTTGTAAGTTTTTAAAGTAAGCGCAATGCTTTATTGTATCTTGCTTTTAACTTAGATTGTTATGACGCTGAATTTTGTAGAGCATATTTCCACTTATTGCTGATTTAGTCATTTTTATATTGTATTATCCTCTATTCTATCCTCATCTTTGATTTTTCTGCTGCTATTGTTTCCTTCTATTTCCAGGTCATTTGTTCTACTTGTGAGATCAAAATTGTTAAAAAGCACCTTTAAAGCACACACGTCAGGAGGGAAGTGCTTCACTTTGCTCAAAAGTTTTTGTCAAACAAAATAATGCTCCGAGCAGTGAATCACACAATTTGCTTCTGAATTAAAATACACCTCAATTGCACGTTTCAGTTATACAACTAGTATCAACTGGTTGAGTTATTTTTTTTTTATTTGTTGTGATTTAAGTGGTTTTTTTCTTAGGTTTTCCCGTTATACCCAAACTATTATCTTATTATTTCTTCATTACTTATTTAGTTATTCATTATTGTGGACTTTGTAGCATAGGATATATTTTTTCACTTAAAATTTAAATATACATTAAACTATAGGGTTTTAATTGCTTTCTGCATTGCTGTCTAGCTTGTATGGTGTTAATAATTTTATCCTTGTGTTTTTTCTAGCAGATTCAAGTTGTTATCTGTCAAGTTTGAACTTTTAAATGCTTTATTTATATAATGCATTCTGAGTTTTATATAATGCCAATGTCTAAATTGTCACCAGTATGCACAATTTGGCCATATGTAGCCTGTTATCATAAACAATTAGTTTTAATTATTAGAATAGATTTTCTTATATCTCTTAATTGCGATAGAATTGTGCTTAGTTCACTTTGAAAAGAAAAAATTTCTCACAATTCGCTTTGTGCATTGCATTTTGAAGACGAATTGTACAACAACTGTGTGCCGCTGTGTTCTTGAAGTACAAGTGAAATAGAAGGATTTCATATTCATTGTTAGTGTGTTTTAGAAAATCTATCAAATTTAGTTTACGAGGATGCTACATTTAGTTTTGAAAAGATGAGAATTTTTACATTTAAAAAGTTTTTGAGTTGACATAATAAACTTAAACTCAATTTCTTTTTCCTCCAAACAATTATTTTCTCTTTTATTCAGATAAGCCTTCATGTAATTGAAATTGCTTAGGTATTTGATGAAAACATAATAGTTCATGAGGATCCATATGTCCATCGTCTTCAACTTGGTAGCTATGCATTCCTGCTTCTATCCTTTATTGATTTAAGCTATGATTATTTATTTAGTACATTGGGCATAGTCAAGTTAGTTATTGGTTTCCCACGTGAACAGGCAATCTGTGATCCTTTTATGATATATAAGCCTACAAATCTAACTTAGAAAGAGCCAGATAGCCTTTCTGTTATTGTAACTTTGATGGAAGTCAAATTCATAAGGAAGAGTGTTTCACAGAGTATCTTAGTCTTGTTGTTTTTTGGATGAAGCTGTAGAAAAATGCATTGAAAAATATGTGGCTGGAGAAAATGTTAATATTTCTTTGATTTAATTCGCTTAGGCCGAGGAGGGGAAGTTAGTTGGATGGGTGGCTAGAGCCTAGAGAGAGCCAAGGAACTAGGACAGGTGGGGCAATCCAGACAACATTCCATTGCTCATTGAGAACAAAGACGGTTTAATTAGATATGATCAAGTCAGTTGTTACTTTCATGTGGTACACGGATAAGTTGGCACTTTATGGGGTTCTGTTGCAGCATTTGCTTAATATTGGCCAAATTGCAGTTTGGTCCTATTTTGAACAGTGGTTCCATTTGGTTAATTAAATTTTCAATTTGCATAAACAGGCCCCTCTATTTTCCAAAAATTGCAAGTTCTTGCTTTTATAAAGAAATTCCTTAAGTTTTGTTGGTATATGGATATTTTTAATAATGAATTTCCCTTAGAATATTTTAATTGACACCCTCTATAATGAATATGTTTAGTAGAGTGTGGAGTAGGTAGCAGGTTGTTGATGTAGTAACAGATCTGTGGGCCATGCTAACGTGAGCCTCATTCCTTGGCTCAGGCCTTGGCCTAACTTGAATGAAATGATGATAGAAAAGTTTTGCAACTCGTTTTGGGGATGGGGGTCTCGTGGGTGGAGAGAGGGGATATGGGCAAGTAGCAGGTTTTTGTTGGCTCAATTGTTCTTTAGCCTAGGCTAACCTAATCTTGGTTCCTTGGCTTAGGCTTTGGTCTGAAATGAATTAAATGATGATAGAATGGGTTCGACTCGGCTGGGTTGGATTGATTCCATATTGAATTGGTATTTAAATCAAGGCAATTTGGTTCCTCAATGAGTGGAATCAAAATTAGCCAAATTTACCTTAGAACCAAATTAGGTTGAACCACATTTTACTGCTTGGTTTTTCTTTGGTTCTCAAGATTGATTAATACTCATGGCATTGAGATTTCTTTGTGTTGGGATTGGGTCTTTTAGAGAAAACTTCATTCTTTCAACTATAACCTCATTCATGATAATCAAATTTAAACAATTTAATATTTTCAGCTATGTATCATTTAAAACCTAATTAAACAAAATCAGTTTGCAGTATACAATTTTAGATGTTTATGTTTTGATCTATTAGCATGCAACCTTGCGAAGCAAGTTGAAAATGCCATTTAAACTATGTGAAACTTACAAATTCACTACTTAATTATCAAGGATAGATTTGAGCAACAAGTCTCGCCTTGAATTTCTAAATTCACTATTATAATCATCATTAGACCCTATCTTAACTTTTTGTGTTCAATTCTAAATTTGTTTAGGTTACCCTTTAGTTGTTGTTTGGGTTGGCGCATTGATTCAAGCTCTAATGTCTGGGATTTTTGACTATTGGTACCTACAACCGGCCCATTGGAATTTTATAAGTATTTTAAAAATCTGACTCGAATCATGTTTTTCATGAACTAGCCCAAATTGATTTGATCATTTCAATTTAAATAAGTTATTTGGTATTTTTACACATTCGTAAATACATTAATAAAATAGGAATATTTAATATGGATGTTTTTATGTTTACTTAACTTTTGCATCTCCATTTGCATTATGTTATGCGGTGTTTTATTTATTTGGCCAGGTGGTTTAGGTCGACTCAAGTTGCCCATTGCATAAGTTTTAAGAGAAGGCAGTTGGATACATGATAATAAATTTAAAAGATCTAATAGCATTATGCTCTTTTAAGGTAACTTTGAACTTTTGGTATTTGTTTGTTAGTTAATGAACATGGCCAACACTTCTACTTGTGAACTAGTGGTTTGTTCACATAAAATGATAAACAAGGGAAGAAATAGAACATAGATCCTAAATGTTTGGACTTTAATTAGTTAACTTTTTTATTTGATGTGCTAATCCTTATTCTTCTGTAATGATGAGTAACTGTTAAGGAATTAGTACCCTATAACATCATTCTCTTAGTCTAGCTAGGTACCACTAGTGCATCTTGCCAACAAGGCATGTTGAAAGGTCGATTGTATCACTGACTCGACATCAGTACTTGAAACACTATAGTCAAGAATAGCAGCTGGATGGTGATTTAATTCTTTCAACAACAACTAAAACGATAAAATAAAATAAAATAATTTTTTTTGGAAAGAGCCAATAATTATCCATTACAAGTTTGAAGACGAAGGGGATCTAATGAAAATATGTATGAATTGCACTATATATATAGTGCAATTCATACATATTTTCATTAGATCCCCTTCGTCTGTTTATGCAACCTTTTATGTCAGCAATTTATTCAATAGGTGCTTTACCCCCCAAAAAAAAAAGATTGAGTTTTCATCATCAAATCGAGTTGTTAATTACTATTTTATAAAATAGCAATGATAATTTAAGGTTTAAAATTTGATATTCAGGTATGAGTCATAGTAAAAATGATGGTGATTATAAATAAGAGTTTAAAAGATAATGCTGTAAAAATTAATAAAATTGAAGATAAAATTTTAACTTTGAAGGTTGTTATTGATGCTAAGAGTATTAATATTATAAGTGTTTATGCTCCTCAAATAAGTTTGGATATGTGTTCAAAAATAAAATTTTGGGATGGCTTTGAAGAATTAATACTAAAGATATTTCTTGAAGAAAGAGTTTTTATCGGAGAAGATTTAAATGGACATGTTGATAGGGTATTAGAATATTTTAAAAGCATTTGTGAAGGCTAGAATTTGAAGTTACTAATGAACATGGTAAGATCATATTAGATTTTACTCTAGCTTATGATTTTGTAATTGCTAATACTTTATTTAAAGAAAGAGAGGAACATTTCATCACTTATAAAAATAATTATAGTAAACATTAGTTTGATTATCTTCTTATAGAAAAAATAGATTGTTTAGAGTTTAAAGATTGCAAAGTCGTTTCGAGTGAAATTTTATGTACCTAACTATTTATTAGTTTTGGACTTTTACTTGAAGGGGTGAAAAATGAAAAATAAAATAAAATATTCTAGAATTATATGAAACTATTTAAAGAATGCTAACAAAAAGATTTTTTAGAGTAAGATTTCGGATCTTAAGATTTGGGTTGATCATGAGAAAGCTAATGTTATGTGGGAAAAAATAGCTTGTGATATTAAAAATGTTGTAAAGTAGACGCTTGAAAAATAAAAAAAAGTTCATAAAAAGAAAAATAGTTGTTGGGGAAATCAAAATATATAAAAAAGATAAAAAACAAGATTTCTTATAAAAATTAGTTTATATAAAAGCTTGAAAAAAATAGGAAAGATATAGAGAGGCTCGTAGTGATTTTGAGAAAGTAATATGTGATGTAAAGAATTTAGCTTTAAGTGATCTATATAATAGATTATATATTAAGGAAGACGAAAGATGTATGTATAAGTTAGCCAAACAAAGAGATAGGATAAATAAAAGTTTAGTTCAAGTGAAGTGTATTAAGTATGAATATTATAAAGTTTTTTTAGAAGAAAATATTCAACATAGGTGGATGATTTATTT